TATATATATATATATATATAATATTCGAAAAAATTGAGACCGCCTTATGATCTCCAAGAGTACACATTTTCAGGGAAAATGCCCCGAATAAAAGTTGTAAGGGTCATGAAGGATTTTTGGTGACCTTGAACTTAAATAATTGTTTGAAGGTCACATAAAGGTCATTTTAAATTTCTTAAATAGAACCCACATTTTTCATTGACTATTCTTGTAACTACTCTGGAGTTTTTCAAATAATAAAATATTTTTTCATGAAGTACATTTCAAGTAAGGTTTAAAGATTATAGTATGACGGTTAAAACATTTTGAACGTTCAGAATCATAATCTGAATAATATTTGTCGAGATCAAAGTCACATTGAAGATTGTTTCTCTTATTTCCATTTTTACATAAAAACGAATTTTTAGTGCAAAAATAAAAATTAGGTACCGTTGATCAGACACCTTGCGTAATGCTAATGCCGGCGATACTGTAATTTTTAAGCCTTATAATTAGAAATGTACTTCAAAAAATGTTTTATTATAGTGTTTTGAAAAGCTCTCAGGGTTAGCTAGAAGAATATTTAATGAAAAATGGGGGTTCTATTTAAGAAATTAGAAGTGATCCTTATGTGACTTTCAACCAATTATTTAAGATTAAATTCAAGGTCACCAAAGGATAATCCTTTATGACCTCTACAACTGTTACTTAAGTCATTTTCTTTGAAAGTGCATATTTTTGGAGATCATAGGAAGTCCCATTCCTTTTGAATATCCTGTATGTGTATGTGTATAGGAGGGGGAGGAAGTGATGAAAGAACGCACTAGTTTTTCCCATAGGACGCAGCTGTAGGAAACGCGTCAGACAGGTGGCGCAAGAGAAAGAGAGGGAATTTTTGATGAGACTAGCATTACTTATTTATTATTACTACTTCTTGAGAAATACAGAGTATCGCAGTTATCCGACGCTCGAGTTTTTCTTGTTCGCCTTGACTCCTATTACTACTTTTTGGGGACTCAGTCGGGAAGCTCAATGAATAAGGGAAAAGCTTGAAAAAGATTGCGTCGGCCGTTGTATCCGTAAATTATACGTACATAAGTTACACGCCATGTTGTAAGTAAAGTTGTGTTGACGAGATTAGGTTGACGGAACCATGTCCTGAGATAAAAAGTTGGAATGATAGTTGTATAGTTGAGATACGCTGTCTGCACGTTGTACCACAGAACGAGACTGAGTTATGTTAATCTATAAAGAAGAACAGGAAAGTCGTAAAGATATCGAATATCGATGAACGGAAGTGACACGGAAAATAGCAATATAGGAGACGATGTATTGCCAAACGATCATGCTCAGTACAAGCAAGGGAACAAACAAAGCAGAGATTAGTAAAGAAGTTAAGAAGAAATTGGATAAGTAGAAAGACAAAAAAGACGATAGTAAAAAAAATAGCAAGAAGCAGTTGACTAATGAAGCCATTGATAAAATGACAGCAAAAGAATTAAAAATCGAACTTAAACAATTAAATTTGGCAAGAAATGGAAAGAAACAAGAATTGAAGGAACCACTAAAAGAACACATCCAAGAAGTAAAAGAGAATGAAACGACAGATGAGAACACTGACGGAGAAGAGACAAAAGATAAAACGGAAGAGGAAGAAAGCGACAGTCAAAGTGATGAAGAGACATGAGATATACATCGAAGGACATGAAGAAGAAGCATGCGAGAACTAACCATGTCAACTAATCTATTCACTATAAAGGATGTAAAGAATAATATCACTTATTTCACAGGTGATGATAAGCTATCCATTGAAAAGTGGTTGAGTGGTTAACTTCAAGGATCTAAGTTTTTTATTCGAAGGAACGAATTGCAAAAGCTTATTTATGGTAAGAGACTTTTAAAAGGTTTAGCTAAGAAATTCATTACTTACGAACGTGGTATTCTATCATGGAGTACACTGAAACGAAAGTTATTACGCGAGTTCAAGATGGATTTAAATAGCACATTAGTACATAAGGTCAGTGTATTTATGCGATGCAAGAAATAGCAAGGATATATTGAAACAGGCGCATTAATCCAACATATAATAGATGATGTACAAAATGAAGAAGCAAATAAAATAATCTTATACATCGTATCGACACTGCATAACTTAAAAAAGAAATTTGAGGTGTATGATAAAACGAAGGAAAAAACAGGCAAAATCAAGAGCTTCAGAAAGAAAGAAATAACTAAGAATGAAACGGAAAAGAACAGAAAGTGAGTGCATTGTTTCAGATGCGGTGCCACGGATTTTTCACAATGTGAAAAATTGCACACACAAAAAAAAGGCCAAATATTTCAGATGCAATGAATTTGAACATATTTCGCCAAAGTGCACGAAAACTGTAAAAACAAAACTAAGGATATCAACGTAGTCAGAATAATTGATATCAAAACTATTCTAGTGACAATAAATGGAAATAATATCGAGGCATTTTTGGACAGGCAGTGATGTGAATCTTATGCGCGAAGATGTCAATAAATGGATAGGAGTTTCTAAATTATAGAAAACTACAAGAGTGTTTACAGGTTTTGGGAATACAATAACGAAGCCTATTGGCAAATGCTATGAATGTCTAACCATCGACACAGATGTATTAAAGACAAAATATTTGTAGTCCCTAAGGCTTCGATGACGAGAACTAATTATAGAAAGGACATTTTTGAAAGAAGCTGAAGTTCTAATATAGAAGAATAAGATTACAATAAAAAGAATCTCGCATAAAGGCACCAGCCGAAATATATGAATGATACTGAAAATGATGTCTGTACTATCAATGGAATCAGCGCAGAAAAAACAAAACCAGGGTCGCCAAAAAATAGATGGAGAACAAAACAAATGAGGACACTTCAATGATCAACAACGAAGTTCATGGAATAATACTAATAAATACCAAGCCAGACGAAGTTCTAGAGTCATACAAATTTAAAATCAGCAAGCTAATAGAAGAATATACGCTTAAGGAAAAAGTGCAAACATCCATTCAGACGAAGATCATCTTAAGCGATGACGAACCGATAAATCTCCAACCCCAAAGATTAGTACAGAAAGAGAAACAGATTCTTGACGAGCAAATAAAAGATTGGATCAAGGTATTATAAGGCCAAGTCAAAGTGATTAAGCCTGGTAGTAATAGTACCCAAGAATGTTTTCTATAAGATGTGCATAGACTACTGGTTATTAAATCGTAAGGTAATCAAAGACAGAGTTCCAGTATCCATCATTAAAGAGAAAATTGATAGTTTAAAAGATGCACGAGTATTTTCGTTGATCGATTTAACAAACGGATTTTTTTACATGCCGGTTGCGGAAGAATCTTGAAAATTCACAGCGTTTATAACTAACTCCTAAAGGTCTGTATAAATTTATGATGACTTCTTTTGGATTATGTAACAGTCCAGCCAGTTTTATGAGATTTGTTAATGAAGTTTTTCAGAATCTAATACGTCAAAAAATAGTAATAATTGATATGGATAATATCGTCATACCAGGAAGAAATTACGAAGATGCCTATGAAAAATTAATGAAGACTCTTAAAACAACAGAGGAATGAATTAAATATTAACTAGCGTAAAAGCAGCTTTCTTAGGAAGATTGAGTTTTTAAGACATGAAATAGAAAATGGTCATGTACGGCCAGTCAAGGCTAAGAAAGCTATTACTCACTTTCCAGAGCCAACATCTAAACTGCAGGTTGGCAGTTTCCTTGATTTAACAGGATTTTTCCATAAATTTGTTTACAATTATGCACGGATCGCTCGACCTTTATCCGATCTGTGAAAAAAGATAAGAACGTAAGATTTTTAGAAAGATCATATTGATTACGACCTCGATGTTGAATTAAGATAAACATTAAATGTAGAAGTTTAATATTTAAGTCTGTTCGTCTTTTAGAATCTTACATTATTTGAGTTTAGATCGGTGTGAGGATCTGAGTTATAATAGAATCCTACTGTACCTACTCGTATATAAAATTTTTAGAGAAATTTTTGTAAAAATGAGAAATTGGACAATAATTGCGTACTACAAGTATTGTAACGCCTATTGACATACAATTAAGTCTAACAAGTTTTCGGTATATTAAATTGTAAGAAACGCTCTTAGAATTCGGCTCTTAGAATTCGACTGAATAATTGTTTGATTTGTATGAGTTAA